CTCACCATTGAGTATATTAGCTGGAGGTTTGTCATATATGGCCTTTATTACATTGACAAGCATTTCCTCTCTACCTACTTTGTGGAGAGTTTTATCATAAATGGATGAGAATTTTTGCAAATATTTTTTCTGTGTCTGTAGAGATGATCATGATTTTTATCTCCATTTTATTAATGTGGTGTATCATGTTGATTGATTTGTGGATGTTGGACCATGCTTGCATTCCTGAAATAAATCCCATTTGATCATGGTGTATCATCCTTTTAATGTATTGTTTAATTTGGTTTGATAATAGTTTGTTGAGGATTTTTGTATCTGTGTTAATCAGGGATATTGGCCTGTAATGATTTTTGGAGGGGGTGATGTCCTTGTCTGTTTTTGTATCGGGTAATGCTGGCCTCATAAAATGTGTTTGGAAACATTCCCTCCTCTTTAATATTTTGGAAGTGTTTGACAAGGATAGATATTAAATCTTCTTTGAATGTTTGGTAGTATTCACCAGCTGTCTGGTCTTGGACTTTTCTTTGTTTGGAGGTTTTTGATTACTGATTTAATCTCCTTACTGGTAACTGGTCTATTTTGATTTTTTTGTTTTTTGTTTTTTTTTTTTATGATTCAGTTTTTGAAGATTGTAAATTTGTAGTCACTTGTCTATTTCTTCTAGATTGTACAATTTATTTGTGTATAATTGTTAATAATTGTCTCTATGATCCTTTGTATGTCTGTGGTATCAGTTGTAACTTCTGATTTTTATTTCTGATTTTATTTCTTTAAGCTCTCTCTTTTTTTTCTTGGTGAGTCTAGCTAAGGGTTTCTCAATTTTGTTTACCTTTTCAAAGAACCACCTCTTTATTTTATTGATTTTTAAAATTATCTTTTTAGTCTTGATTTCATTTATTTCTGCTCTGATTTTTATTATATCTTCCTTTTACTAACTTGGGCTTTCTTTCTATCACTTAAGGCCAATGTATCCTTATTGATTTTTCTGTCTGAATGATCTATCAATTGATGTAAGTGGGATGTCAAAGTCCCCTACCATTATTGTACTGCTGTCAATTTCTCCCTTTAGGTCTCTTAATATTTATTTTATATTTTTGGTGCTTTACGTTGGATGAACATATATTTAGAAATGCTTTTCCTTTATTATAGTCTTTGCTTTAAAGTCTATTTTGTTTAAAGCTACACCAGCTTTTTTTTTTTTTATCTCCATTTGCATGGAATAACCTTTTTCCATCCCTTCACTTTCAGTCAGTGTGTGTCCTTACTTATGAAGTGAGTCTCTTATAGGTAGTATATAAATATGCCTTGCTTTTCTGTCTATTCAACCACTCTATGTTTTTTTATTAGAGAATTTAGCCTATTTGCATTTATTTTAATTATTGATGGTATGTACTTATTGCCATTTTGTTACTTGTTGAGTGGCTGTTTTTGTAGTTCCTTTCTGTTCCTTCCTTTTTTTCTTTCTTTCTTCCCTTCTGGTTTGATGACTTTCTTCAGTGTTATGTTTAGTTTCCTTTGTCATCTTCTTTTATGTAGTTAATACGAGTTTTAGCTACACAGTTATTTTGAGGCTTGCATATATCATCCTATGTATATAACTATCAATTTTAAGTTGATAGCAACTTAAATTTGAACATGTTCTAAACTCTATGTTTTTATTACCACACCCCTTCACATTTTATGTTTTTGATATCATATTTTACATATTTTTATTTTATGTATCTCTTAACTAATCATTGTAGTTTTAGTTAATTTTACTTTTGTCTTTTAACCTCCACAGTAGCTTTATAAGTGATTAACTCATTATCTTTACTATACATTCACCTTTTCCAGTGATATTTTTACTTTTGTATGTATATTTGTTATTAATTAGTGACATCTCTTTTCTGCTTAAAGAAGTCCATTTAACATTCCTTGTAAGGCCAGTTTAGGAATGGTGAACTCCTTTAGCTTTTGCCTGAAAAATTCTCTCTCTTCTTCAATTCTGAATGATAACCATTAGGTAGAGCATTCTTGGTTGGAAGTTTTTGCCTTTCAGTACTTTGAATATATCATGCCACTTTCTTCTGGCCTGCAACATTTCTGCTGAGAAATCTGCTGATAGCCTTATGGTGTTTCCCTTGTAAATAATAATTTTTCTCTTGCTGCTTTTAAGATTCTCTCTTTAAGTTTTGACACTTTAATTAAAATGAGTTCATCTTATTTGGAACTCTCTGGTATTCCTGAACCTAGATATCTGTTTCCTTCCCTAGGTTAGGGAAGTTTTCAGTCATTATGTCTTCAAATAAGTTTTCTGCCCATTTCTCTTTCTTTTCTCTTTCTAGGACCTCTATAATGCAAATGTTATTCTGCTCGATGTTGTCTCATAGGTCCCTTAAGCTATCTTCATTTTTTAAAATTCCTTTTTCCTTTTGCAGCTCTGTCTGGGTGAATTTCATTACTTTGTATTCCAGCTTGCTGACCTGTTCATCTGCTTCATCCAGTCTGATGTTTAACCCCTCTAGTGTGTTTTTCAGTTATTATATTCTTCAGCTCTAGAACTCCTGTTTCATACTATTATATTTTCTATTTCTTTGTTGAAGTCCTTACTATGTAAATCCATTCCTCTCCCAAGTTTGGTAAGCATCCATTACCCTGAATCTTTATCAGATAGAATCCTTATCTCCATAGCATTATGACCTTTTTCTGAGGTTTTATCTTATTCTTTCATTTGGAACATATTTTTCTGTTTCCTCACTTTTCTTGACTCTCTGTGTTTGTGTCTATGTATTAGGCCAGACAGTTACCTCTCTCAGCGTTGGCATGCTCTTGTGCAGTTGATGAAAGTTCTCATTCAGCCTTGCCCTAGCTCTTGGTTGTTTCTTGCGACTTTGTCTTCCTGCTTAATGTTCCCTGGGAGCACTTCTGTAGGCTCTAGATGTATAGAAAACTTGAAGCCTGTTCTTCAGCCTGAAGCCCCATGATAAGTAAATGGGCTTTTGTCACAGAAAGGCAAGGTTGTGTCTCAGTTGGCTGTCTGCAGTGCCCTGGAGTGGTGGCCTGCCAAGTACTGTCTTTCTGATTCTTATATTCCCTTGGAGCTCAGGAATGTCAGCCCCCTTGGCCGTGAGGGCCAGGCAGTCAAGGAGCATCCTCTGTATGGATTGCACATATCCACTGGCTTAACTAAGCAGCTAGAGAGTGTAGGGGGTGGGGCACACTCTCCAGCTTAGAAAGGCAGCAGGAAAGGGTCTTGACTGCATGTGCCCAGGGGTTTCAGGAATGCAGCAGGAGAGTGCCTTGTCTGGGTGCATATTCTGGTTTCAGGCTCAGAGCAGAAAAATGCCAGGACTGCTCACAGTTGCCAGCCCCAACCAGTGAGTGGGGGAGTGTTGCAACCACCTGTGCTCACCAACCAGCTTTAGTTCGGGAGTGGGAGACTGCTGCTACTGTTTGCTCTTGCCTGCCCCAGCTGGGGAGCAGGGAAGTGTTGGCACTGGTGCCTGCTCTGGCTTCAGCAAGGCAAAGGGGATAGTGCCACAGTCCATCGCCCCACTTGTCTTAGCAAGGTGGTGGCGGAGAGGATTTTGCATCTGAGTTCACCCACCTGTGCTAGCAGGATAGGTGGAGAGTGAAATATTGGCATCTGCCAGTGGCATCCTTCATCTCTGGGGAAAGTCCAACTGCCCCTGCTCCTCCAGCAGATGCTTTTAGATCAGCAAATAAATCGCCTTCACATATAGTCTAGGCGCTTTTTAAACTGGCATTTTTTAACTGGGTCTTTGAGTGAAACTGCACACAAGCCCTTTAAAAGGAGCATCCTGGGGCTTTTTGAGCAGAGGGGGCCAATTACATGGCCTCTACGCTGCCCCCTCCCAGTCACCATGTTCAGCCTTGGCCTGTTGAATATTTTTGGCCACTGCATAAGATGTCATTTGGTGAAAATTTTCTGAGGATAAAGCAAATCTGGAAGTGCCTGGGTTAGCTTGCTGTTGAGTAGGTAGGTCACTTGAGGGGTTGTCAGCTGTGTGCAGGAGCTGCTGGCTGTCCCCTGGGTCTGGCTGGCCAACTCTGCCTCTGACCAAGCCTCTTTCTGGCAGCCACGCCTTTCTTTAGATATGTTACTAGTACTGATCTGGGATCCAGTTACACTAGGTGGTGGTTCTTCCTGTTCTGAGCCAAGAAACTTGAGCCTCTGAGGTGCTGTTACCTGAATGTTCTCTGAGGCCCTTCTTGTCATAACATTATGATCCAGGTTTGCCACCTTTTCTGCAAAGGAATATTCCTTTTCCTGTGACTGAGACACTGTCATCAGGCTGAGGTTCCTGGACACAGGTCCCCATTTTGTCTGTCACTCTCTGGGTGACCCTGGACCTCACACCACTGGCTGCTGGAGAGGGGACCTGAAAACCTTGTTCCCTCTAATTCTCCAGGGCTCATAGCAGTCCCTCAACAAACACTTAAGGAAAGCACCAATGAATGAATGAACAAATAATCCTAAAGTATAATTGCCTATTGAATAATAAATTCAAATTAAGAGACATGTGAACTTTTAAAGGATGGGAGAAGGAATAGGAGATAAGGTAAATTTAAGTTTCCATTTCTTCACCCACAAAATGAGTAAAATCCCTAATTTAAGGTTTTATTACAGCTCCACTGTGATGGGGAATTAAATCTCAAGTGTGTTGAAAGGCACTTTCCAGAATGCAGAGGCTGAACATGAAAGGCTCCATTTTTCAAAGGCAGATAAAATGTTAGTACCCAAGTAAAGAGTTTTTAAAATGAGTGGTTCAAGACCCAAGCAGGAAGCTGAAATGGAGACATTTCCCTCTTTTCTGTATACTGTCTATTTAGGAAGGATGTTTACTCTCTCTAAGCTTTAAATGTGCTATAGGCCTGCAAACCATTCCTCCTGGGGAGAATAGGCCTTCTCAAAATGTTCATTCTGCATGGGCTGCATGTAAAATGTCATCGCATATTGACCTATGATCAATAAAGAAGAATTTCTATAATGCTTTCAGCCAGATTTGTCCAGAGTGCCAGGATTCAGAAGTCAGTTCCAAAGCAGCCCCAAGGTCTCCGAGCTGCTGAGGGGCCCATGCAATACGATGATGTCTCTTGCTTTCCTGAGATCATTTCTGGTGCTGTGGAAGCAGCTGGAAGTGCTGAAGGACCACTGGGGCCAGCTCAAACTGCAAGGCCAGGATGGCAGTTCTGTCTCCCTCCACAACCAGTTCTCAGAACTCTACGGGTAAGTGTTGCTAAGGTGGAAATTCTCGTGGATGAGTGGAATCTGAGGCTTGGCACATTCCTGCCCCTTGCTCTGAGGGAGAGATTTGGTCCATGAATTCTGGTATGCCCAGCCCCACCGAGCTCAGAGGAAGCTGGGCAATATGTCTCTATAAACAGTGCTTTACTGGAAAAGCTGGGTTCTACTGAATTCAGGGACAGTGCTGGGTTCCACTAAGCAATACTGTACATCATTTACCCAGAGTTCTGTCCCTGGGAACTTGTGCTTCTCAAGTGTTCCCATGGTGCTGACTCTAAGCTTTTTTAGTTCATAGGATCCCAGCAAGCACTGGGTAGGGAGATGCTGCTGCTGTGAACTCTTCCCTACTTTCTACCCCGTTAGACCCAAGTGCTGAGTCTCTGAGAGTTTCACCCACTACGGCCAGAGGTATAATATGGTGCAACATGAGATCTTAGGTCTGTGGGATGGTAGGGTGTTTTCACACTTCAGGCTCTGGCTGGGATGAATTAGCTGTCAGAAAAGATATGTTGCCTCTTCCATGTGTCTGTTATCAAACAAGCATTTACCATCCTTGGACCTTACTGGGCATAAGAAGGTTCTCTTTGGTGCCATAGTCCTTGTGGTCTATTTTATGAATTATCACAGTCAGCTTTCCTGGTAACTAGGGAATGAGAAAACTTGTCAATTTTTTTTAAAGTTTATTAATTTATTTTTAGAGATAGCACAAGTAGGGGGAGGGGCATAGAGAGAGAGAAAAAGAGAGAATCCCAAGCAGGCTCTTCACTGTCAGTGCAGAGCCTGATGCAGAGCTTGAACTCACAGACCATGAGATCTTGACCTGAGCTGAAATCAAGAGTTGGCTGCTTAACCGACTGAGCCACCCAGGTGCCCCAAAACTTGTCAATATTTTAAAGACTAAATGAAGACGAAAATTAAATGTGCCCAGTGGGAAAAGGCCTAGGATTTAATATTGACTAAGGGTGCAACAACTATAGTGAATTTAGATGTCGATGTGAGTATCTAAAATGGGTTGGGAGGTTTATACATGATGACAGGAGACAGAACATGAATGAAAATAATTGTCAGAGAATCTGAATGAGAAAAAATATGTTTGTTTACTAATTTTGGTCTCTCTTCTTTAATAGAACTGACATCCTCTACCCCAGCATGAAAGCTATAGCTAGGCGGATGGGGAAAGAAGATGAATTTGAAGATCTCATAATAAGTAGTCAGTCTATTCTTCCCCCTGAAGGAGCTTCAGAAATTGAAATAAAAATTCAACAGGTATGCGGGAGCCATTTGGAATTTGACTTTGAAAATTTGCTTTATGGCATAAGCATGTAATACTACAGATACACCCAAGTGGTTTTTTTTCTAAGACATTAAGTGTAGATTGTAGGTGTGTAAATCACTGAACAGGCTCAGAAGGAACTAAGTACCTAAAGGCATGTAGGGCTTTGATTAAGCAAATAACTACCCCTAATGTTCCCATTTTGTAAGTCTGAATCTTCATATTTTGATTTTCCTCAAATTAAGGTGGACTACCACACAAAAAAAGACTGTGATAGAGAACATAACCACTAGCATCTTAAACATAAAATCTAGGGGTATCTGCGTGGTTCAGTTGGTTGAGCGTCTGACTCTTGATCTCAACTCAGGTCATGATCTCACAGTTCATGAGTTCGAGCCCAATGTGGGGCTCTGCTCTGACAGGGCAGAGCCTGCTTAGGATTCTCTCTCTCACTCTCTCTCTGCCCCTCCCCCACTCGCACTGTCTCTGTCTCTCTCAAAACAAATAAATAAACTGAAAAAAAAAAAAACATAAAATCTGGCACACAATTATCTGCCCCCCCCCACACCCATGGCAATGGAATGTATTTAAAATAGCTCCTGTGATTTTTTTTTTCTGAGAGTAAGACCACGCAATTTATGCACTAATCCATTTGTTGTATGCTAGATGATCTATGTGAGAGGCTGTTTTCCCAAGTGTTTGTTTACCTTTGTCCTAGGACATAGACCCAATGTGGCTGTGCTCGCTGTCACAGGCAAACAAAACCTCTAGCTGTTTGAGTGTCAACGCAGAGATTCACGTCCCCTGAACATCAAGGAGAATTCAACTCCCCCACCTCCAACATACACACATCCCAGTCCCGAATCCCCTTGCTTACCCTTCTGAATCCCGGTTCTCTCTAGTACCTGGGGTCCTCTGACAGGGAGAAATGTGGGCCCAACAAGCATAATGGATAAAGTAAGGGTTCATGGTTATTGGGAAAATTTTCTATTGGTCATGTTTAGAATTTTAATCTTCTCATGAAATCCCTCTGGATATCTAAATCAAGTTTCAGGCCCAGGGGTTTCTCTTGTAATAACAGCTCATGAAATTCCTGGCCACATTTAGAGACCCCCAAACACATGAGGTCACCTCAGACATTGAGCACTTTGCAATTTAGCAGAACTTGGTTTAAAAAAATAAAATAAAATAATAAAAATAAATAAATAAAAGGCTATGTTTTATCAGTGGGGATGTGGACCAGGAAAAGATGCTGATCCCCAAAGAGGTATATCTACGGTCGCAGAAGTACTTAGAAATCCAGGAAAGGAACCCTTTCGTCTTCCCCGGGAGAAAGTAGCTAAGGGACAGCACCTAATCCCAGACCCTTCTGCAGGAATGTGACTTGGGAGCTTAGAGTATAAGCTGAGTGTAGAAAGTGACTCAAACTTCTTACTCTAGCTTCAGAAGCTTCTGGAAAATCTTGAAATTCATATGATCCAGGAAGTATTAAGAAAAGTTAAGACAGAAAGAGCACTGGTTGTATCAGAAAAGTCCAAGGACCAGGGTACTCTCCCTACAGGTAAAGTATGTTTATTTTATTACTTTACAAAATAGCATTTATTGGTTTTTTCCTAATTATGAAAGGAATCCATGTGTCATTTTCATGGTAAAAAGGTACTATCATGTCCAGACAATGATATAAAAATTACTTTTTAATAACTTGGCCCAGAGAGAACTATTAACATTTTGACATATTTCCTTCCACTTAAAATCTTTTAAATAGAAAACATTTGTTAAGTTCAGTTTCAGCTCTGTTGATTAACTCATAACTGAAATAAAGTTGAAATGGGGAAAACATATAAGCTTTTCTTACTTGTAATATGTTTAAGTGCACGTATGTATTATACATATATATAACATATAAATGTCAAAATCTTACAAACACATGTATTTGGGGTGGGAAGGTAATCAAAATTATTTCCTTTCATCTGAGCTCTAAAGTCAGGGTCACTTCATGGACATGTGATCTGCACACTCACACAGGATTCAGGGGGTACTTGGGGCTTAATGTTCTATGGCTGCCATCTTGAAACTCTTAATTTTGACTAAGAGTTTGTGTTTTGTAAGCGGAATCCAGTGAGTCAATGGAGAATGCACCAAGACTTGGAGCCTTGCCTTACATGAAGTCCTGCTTCTTACTGCCTCCCCACCTTGCCGAATGGCTCTTAGCTACCTATCCGTCTGCTCTCTAGTACCCTGGGCGCCCCTAATCTCCCCCTCACCATCCCCACCAGGCCATTGCTGCTGCCCTCCACTCCAGGGAGGGGGGGCGGTTGCTGAGCAGGAGGAGGATGGGGATATGTGTACCTAGTAAAAACTCAATGACCCTAGTCTGGCAACATCATGGTACATCTAATGGGTGACTCGGTGGGAGCAAGCCTATTGCCTATCCTTAGATTTGTACAATATCCCAGGACAGAGGCTACAATACCCTTGGGATTGCCTGTCCACAGTGGGCCCCTGGGAAGGAAAGATGCCTGGTTCAACTTCTCCACCCCTGGCCAGGGCACAGAACCTCAGTTCAGTAGCTACACAGGCACTCATGCTCCCAGTCACAGGGTAGAGCTCCTCGGAGTGAGTGTCTCACTCTCCTCACAAGCATTCCCATGCCTAGGGAGTACAACATTAAAAACAAATAAAAACACCATGACAGGTCAAGAAAGAGACTGCAGAAGAAAGAAAACACTATATTTTAGTATCTATAATGGTGCTTTTCTTCCCTGCTTTTTGGAAAAGAGGCCCTGCATTTTTATTTTGCACAGCATGCCATAGATTACGTAGCTGGTCCTGTCTGAACTGTCTACTCCTAACTCCTACTAATTCTGTAGGAAAACTCACAACCTTTGAACCATGGAGGGGTTGTTTGACTAGCAAACTAAATTAGATTTTCTTCTTGAGACAAAGTCCACAGACATTATAATGTTAATTAATAACATCTGTCCTCACCTAAGACATTGTCATTTTATCAGTGCTTCGAGTAATTGAATTCTATGAACAGGGCTTTGGCAGAAGGCTGTGCAGTGAGAGGGCAAGCCACTTCTCGGCTAGGGGTGTCACCAGAGAGCTGAATGTCACCAGAAAGCTGAGTGTGGTTGAGCTTCATTTACAGAACATTTAACAAGACACAAAAAGCACGTGTTATTGTGCTGTGATGGCTGCTTCCAGGCAACTCCCCTCTGAGTCTTGGGAGAAAATCCACAAGTGCACAGGAGGTTCAACCATCTTCATGTTTCAGGCTGTGGTTTAATGAGACACCCAGATGGGGGGCAAGGGACAAAACTTTTTTGCTTTGTGGCTCTGTGTGCTGCCTTGTGCAGGGTGCTGTCAGCTGTGCTTGGAAAGAGCCTCCATAAGGGGCTGGTGGGAGTTAGGCAGAGGGGCGGGGTAGAGTTATTTTTATTTATTTATTTATTTATTTATTTATTTATTTTTATTATATGAAATTTATTGTCAAATTAGTTTCCATACAACA